CAGAGGGACATCAGTCACCAGGGGACTTTTTATGTACTTATTTATTTTTTTTATTTTTATTTTTAAAAGTTTATTTTTTTTGAAGGGGGAGGAGTGGGGGGGGAGAGAGAGAGAGAGAGAGGACGAGGGAAAGAATCTTCAGCCAACCTCCATGCTTTGCCCAACGCAGGACTCAATCCCACGAACTGTGAGATCACGACCTGAGCGGAAATCAGGAGTCGGACATTCGACTGACTGAGCCGCCCAGGTGCCCCTGGGGACTCAGATTTAAACCCGAGCTCACGCTCTCGGCCACCGTGGTGCCTGCCGCTTCTGTGGGTGGCTGGCCCGTCATGGACCGGTGTCAGCACGAGCGTCTGCTGCCCTTCCCTTGCTCCTGGTACCCAAAACATTAAGAAAGCAGCCACCCGGTCCCCCTGGGCTTTAGGTGCCCATCCATGGGGAAACGGGTGTTTGTTCTGTTCTTGCCATTTTAACCTTTTTAAAGCACGTAGTTCAGTAGTAGTAACTGGATTCACATTGGTGTGCAACAGATTTCCAGGACTTTTTCATCTGGCAAAACTGAAACTCCATAGCAATTAAACACCAACCCCCATTGGCCCTGTCCCCAGCTCCCGGTAACCACCAGCTACCTTCTGTCTCTATGAGTGTGACTACTTTGATTCCACGGAAGTGGAATCATATAGGACTTGCCTTTTTGTGTCTGGCTTATCTCACTTAGCACGATGGCCTCAAGGTTCATCCGTGTTGTAGCAGGTGTCAAAATCTCCTTCCTTTTATTGGATGATGATATTCCATTGTATGGATAGACCCCAGTTCTATTTATCCTTTCCTCGTTTCTCAGTCGGGTTGTTTTGTTGGTGTTGAGTTGTAGGGGTTCTTTATGTATGCTTGTTATTAACCCCTTATTACATATATGATTTGTAAATATTTCCTCCCCCTCTGTAGGTTGTCTTTTCACTGTTGGCTGTTTCCTTCGATGCACAGACATTTTCGTGTTTGACTTAGGCCCCATTTGACTAATTTTGCTTTTTGTTACCTGTGCCTTTGGTGTCATATGCAAGAAATCATTGCCAAGTCCAATGTCATGAAACTTTCCCCTGTTTCTCCTGGGAGTTTTACAGTTCTAAGACGTACAGTGAGGTCTTTAATCCATTTTGAGTTAATGTTCGTATATGGCGCAAATGCGGCTTCATTCTTCCGCATGTGAAGGTCCAGTTTTCCCAACACATTTGTTGAAGAGACTGTCCCTTCCCCATTGAGTGGTCTCGGCAGCCTTGCTGGAGATCGTTTGGCCACACACGTGAAGGCTTATTTCTGGGCCCGCTTTTCTATTCCATTGGTTTGTTTGTCTGATTTTTATGCCAGTACCACACGCTTTTCGATTACGGGAGCTTTGTAGTTAGTTTCGGAATCGGGAACTGCAAGTTTTGCAGCCTTACTCATTTTCAAGATTGCTTTGGCTGTGTGAGGTCCCTTGAGATTCCATATGAATGCTAGGATGGATGTTTCTATTTCTGCAAAAAGCGTCCCTGGGATTCTGATAGGGATACAGTGAATCTGCACATCGCGTTGGGTAGTATTGATATCATAATGATACTGTGTTCCAATCCATGAACATGGGATGTCTTCCCAGTTATTCATACCTTTTTTCGTTTCTTTCGGCAAAGTTTGGTAGACTTCGGTGTAGACGTCTTTTACCTCCATACTTAGGTTCCTTTTTAAGTATGTTGTTCTTTTTGATACTATTATAAATGGGGTTTTTAAAAAATTTCCTTTTTGGATTGTTCATTGCTAAGGTATAAACACCCCATTGATTTTTGTGTGTTGATTTTGAGCCTGTGTTTATTAATTCCAACAGTATCTTGGGGGGCCTTTAGGGTGAGAGAAGGGTCCTGATTTAAGGTCCTTCCTGATGACCTTCCATGATTTTGTGACTTCATCCAGGGCCTGTGGCTCCTGTAAGAGAGTGGGGCTCTCTTTTGCAAGGGGGTTTGCCTCGGTTTGGGGCTTGCTTTTGAAGGCAGTCCAACCCAGTCTTTGCTGGCAGGTGACTGTGTCCCAGGCACCATGCTTCCCCTGAACTTGATGATCAGAAGCACTGTCCTCTCCCATCTATCAGATGGGGACACTGAGGCAGGGAGGAGAGACTGACCAGAGCCCATGATCCAGATATCCTCATTTTTAGCTTTTCCTCTTTATTGTGTGTCCCTGCTCAGAAGAAATGAGCACCCCCTCCCCCAAATCCACTGCGTCACTGGAAACAAATGCAAGATGTCTTGAAAACCAGCAATTCTGTGAACTTAGAAATGCACCTGGGCTTCCCCAAACTCCCTCAATTTGCCAGAAGCAGAGGCCCATCTGCCCCTGTTTTACTCCATCGTTTGGGAAGTATTTATTTAGCACCTACTGTGTGCTGAACCTGTGCACAAGGGTGCAGCAGAGAGCCAGGCAGCCGGCCCCTGGCCCCGGGGAGTGGGGCGGGGGGTGGGGGTGGGGTTCCTGGGAGCCGTGGAAGAGGCTGGGAAGAGGCTTTCCACCGATGAAATCACAGAGCCCCAGGGCCTGACCCTCTCACTTAACTGGGACCGTGTGTGTCTGACACGAACCTGGGCCATTAATGGGGGAGCTTTAAAAATGATTTTTCCTATTTCAAAATGAGATTGGCTTTGAGCCCCAAGCTCCTCCGTGGGCTGTCTAAAATTAGAACCCCGTTGACAGGCAATCTTTGTCAGGGGCCCACGGCTTGCACTAGGGAAGCAGGGAAATGTCAACAGTACGTTTTCTGTGTCGGTTGTGAGTTTTTTGAGAGGCCTGGGCAAATGGCAACTCAGAGCAAATGTTCACTGTTTCCAGAGCTTTCAGAATCCAACCCCTCGGCAGCAATGCGATTAAAGTGTCAGGTTTGTAAGGAGCTGGGTCTGTGCTCGGGAGAGTGGCCTCTGCCCCCTCCTGTGTAGACAGTAATCCACTTGGAGCCGCACAGGCTCACAGCAGCGATGGGGTAGGCTCCTTCCTCCCCGTGAGCTCTGCACTTTGCTGTACTTTCCATGTCCCTCTTGTGACAAGGACGGTCCTGGAGCTGCGGGCTCAGGCCTTACCCCCGGGGACACCGTGGACTCGAGGATTTGCCCGAAGGCCAGGAAGCAGGCACTGTGGCTGGGTTGTAAATGACCAGTAAGCAAACCAACCATACAGGACAGGTCACAGGCCAGCGGGCAGGGCGGTGCCCGCTGCTGGCTGTGGCCCCCACACAGCCGCCAGCCTGGTACCCAGAGGCCAGCTGCCCCATCAGAGACGCGTGGCGCCTCTGGGCCTCTGTTTTTGCATCATCCCCTGGATGTTATTTACATGGGTCTCTGCCACCATGTGGGAGAAGTGCTCCAGTGACGGAATGTGTGTGCAGAACGTAGCCCAGGGAACACTGTGTCAACAGCACTGTCCTCTCCGGGGCGTTGGGGACGCACAGTCCCTTGCTGGCCCCTGGGACCCAGCTGTCACTGAAGTGGTCCTCACAAAGGTCCTTTCGACCCCACTGTATGCCCCTCTCTCTCTGTCCTCCCCTGCGCACCTGCTCCAGCTCGGTGCCCTGGCCCCTGCTCTCCGGGAAGGCCTGTCTGCAGCGGGAAGCTCTGTCACCTGCCAGCCGGGCCGGGCGGGCCCTCCCAGGCAGGCACCTTCCTGCCCAACACTTGCCCACCCTGAGCGTGGTTGCCAGAGAACTGGCTTGTGCCTCTGGTTCTCGCCTTCTAAGACTCCAGGCCGGGGCAGGGACGGGGGTGGGGGCAGAGGCTGTGTGTGTCTTCAGAGCCCAGCATCTGGCCAAGGCTGACCAGGCCGGGGAGCAATCACAGTGCCGACTCAGCACCTGCCTGCTTCCCCTCTTAATGTGTCAGAACCCATCGGGTGCAGCCACGGTGACCCCTGAGCTGGGCCACCGACCTCCCAGCAACTCCCCCCTCACAGACAGACCCCAGAGCTTCTTTTTTATTTTCAAGTGATTGATTGATTGGTGTTTATTTTTGAAAGAGAGAGAGAGACAGAGAGACAGAGAGAGACAGAGTGCAAGCTGGGGAGGGACACAGAAAAGAGGGAGACACAGAATCCGAATCAGGCTCCAGGCTCCGAGCGGTCAGCACAAAGCCCTACGCGGGGCTCGAACTCAAAAACCGTGAGATCGTGACCCGAGCTGAAGTCGGATGCTTAACCAACGGAGCCCCCAGGCGCCCCAGACCTCAGAGCTTCTTAAAACAGACAGAGCCGGGCTCCTGATCCCATTTACAGATGGCGAAATTGAGGCCAGAGGGAGGCCAGGAGACTTGCCAAAGGTCGCTGTGGTGACTGAATGGTGGCCTCCAAAATAGGTGCCTGCGTCCTAGCCCCCCGCCCAGAACCCGAGTGTGGCCTCAGTTAGACGTAGTGTCTTTGACATTGTGACTCAGGTAAGAAGAATCTTAAGACAGGATCGTCCAGGACCAGGGTGGATCTTGGCTCCAGTGACAAGTGTCCTGATAAGAGACCAAAGTAGACAAGACACAGAGGAGAAGCCGTGTGACACAGAGACTGGAGGGATGTGACCACAAGCCCAGGAAGCACCTGTGGCTGGAGGAGGCAGGAAGGACCCTCCCCCAGAGCTTCTGGGGGGAGCACGGAGTGCTGCCACCTTGATTTGGGGCCTCAAGCCTCCAGAACTGGGAGAGAACACACTCTCTAAGTCCCCGGTCTGTGGCCATTTGGTACGGCTGCCCCGGGACACGTGCACAGTGACTTAAAAGAGTGAGGCCTGGGAACCGTGTGTCCGCTTTCTCCTGCTCCCAGTGCTGACACCCCTCTTTCCCCCTAGAGATTTCCAGAGCAGTCTGGAGCTCTGTCCTTGGAGACCCCATCCCTGTGTGCTGGGCGGCCAGGGCCGGGGCCAGCTAGTGAGAATGGTGACAGTAGGCGCTCGACCTGGGTCGCCTGACCCTAGCCTGGGTCTGAGTCGTGCCCTGTGCCCCCAGGTGCGGGCCATGAGGCTCTCCTTCGTGGGGGAGCTGGGCTGGGAGCTTCATGTGCCCAAGCCAGCCTGTGTGCCCGTGTACCGGGCTGTGATGGCCGCAGGCACCAAGCACGGCCTCGTCAACGCCGGGTACCGGGCCATCGACTCCCTGAGCATCGAGAAAGGTGTGTGTGGGGCCCACAGGGCGCCCCCGGGCTGCCCGGAGCCACGCTGCAGGTGGGGGGGCGGGGGGGGTCGGCCCCTGTGCTTCCTCCCTGCCCCACCCCCCTTCCCGCCTGCCCCTTTCTGTCGGCCTCCCCAGCCCTCCCCCCACCAACCCCTGCACTGCCCACAGACCGTGGCTTCCACGCAGGCCTGGGGCCGGGGCTGGGGTCCCTGACAGCAGCACTTGGAGGGCGAGGGGGAGGGGTGCTTGCCCAGCCTTGGGGGGGCGGGGCCGGAGCTGGATTTGGAGGGCAGGGCTGCTGGGGTCCCTCCCTGACAGCTCACCGGCAGGGCAGAGGCTGGAAGGGGCATCTGCTCCCGGGGCCTCGCCCAGGGGACCTTCTGCAGGTGCAGGAGGAGCCCGCCCCCCACGTCGGCTGGGCACCGACCCCAGGGTGTCCTCCCCGCAGGCTACCGGCACTGGCACGCAGACCTGCGCCCCGACGACAGCCCCCTGGAGGCGGGCTTGGCCTTCACCTGTAAGCTCAAGTCAGCGGTCCCCTTCCTGGGTCGGGAGGCCCTGGAGAAGCAGCGGGCCGAGGGCCTCCGCCGACGTCTGGTGTGCTTCACAGTGGACGAGTGAGTGGCCCGCGGTCCTGCGTCTGTCCGTCCAGTAGGACGGGGTCAGCAGGGCCCGAGGGGACCCGGGGGGGGGGGGGGTGGGGGCTGGGACACACCCTGCTCACACACAGCTTTTGAAAGACAAAGGTGCCGCCAGGCCACCTCCCATGGGTGGACCCGGGCTGAGGGCCCAGCTTCCCGGTCACCGTGTCGTGACTTCTCACCATGTTCCGGTTAAATCCCCCCCACGACAGATGGTGGAGGGAAGGCCAGGCCGCGGCCTGGAGACCTGGGGTGCCAAGGGACAGGGTAACCCAGCCGCAGGAAGGAGAGCCCGTTCCGGGGACCCGACCCCTCCACTTGCCCCCGGAGCGGGGGAGCTCTGAGCAGGTGGCTCAGTTATGTCCTCGGGATCTGGCCCATGCTGTCCCAGGATTCCACCTGGGCGGGTGACTCTGAATTGACAGTCCCAGGCTGGTGTCTTCGCGGGAACCTGGGTAGCAACGGTCTCCAGGACGGCGGCTCGACTTCGCTGATTTGCGGCTGACAGGCTCCCACGAACGCGGCCATTCTCCCGGGTTTCTGGAGCCATCAACAGAAGTGTCAGGAGACATGAGGGGGGGCAGAGGGGGAGCCGAGCTGTGGCTTGTCATCGCCCTGCTGCTTCTCCCCGGGCTCCGGTCAGACCGGCCCCCCCGCACGCCGCTTGTCCACCTGCTGGGGAGCAGCCCAGGCTCCAGTTTGGGGGTGCAGACGGAGCAGAGCCCTGCGGAGCCCCTCTGCCACCTGGCCCTCCGGGAAGCACCTGCAGCCTGATGTCTGTCTGGCTCCGGGAGCCTCCGATGCACCCGCCACAGCCCTCCGGCCCCGCTCGGGTGTTCTCTGCAGGGCCACCAAGGCAGCCAGGGCGGTTCCGGTCCTGAGGAAGGACACGGCCAGGATGCCCCCTACCCCGGCCTGTTTCCTCACGTGCAAACAGCATGTGCCCCACAGGACCGGGGGGGACGAAAGGGCAGGGATTTGCCGCGGAACCGCCATCTGTCCCACCCTCTTCCCTCATTCACTCGGGGCCCAGAGCCAGAGGCCCCCAGGCCTCGTCCCCGCGCCTTTGCCCAGGGCAGGATCCACACTGCTGTGCCACCCTCTCCTGGGGGGCGGCCGGCCCCGGGCACCCGTCAGGCTCTCCACAAACATCGACCCAACACCCAGAGGCACGAGTCTGCAGAGATTTGCACTAAATATGCCAGGCACTTCCGGGCGCTGGAGCATCTGTGATTGTAGTCTAATCTCTGCGCTTTCTCTTCTGAATTTTCACAAATGTTACAGTCTGCATTCATGCTAAAGAAAAGTCCTTTTGATAGATAATGCAGCGTTCTGTGGAGAAAGAACCATGGTAAAACAAGCCTCGGGGGCATAAGGCTTTCAATTATTCAGAAGTCAAGGAAAAGCAAGTTAAACGGCGGGCCTTTCCCAAATACCTGGGGTCTGTCCCTGCAGACGCAGAAGTCAGGGCCCGGCAGTGGTCTGTTCTCGTTCGGGCATCCGCTTGGACGCTGTGCCTGGCGACCTGGGGGCCAGGCACTGGGATGGCTCCAGGCCCCAGGGCGCGGGTGTCCCCCCTGGGGGCTCCGGCGCCCCAGCTCTCTCTTGCTTCTTCCAGAAAAGTGCCCATGTTCGGCCTGGAGGCCATCTGGAGAAATGGCCAGGTGGTAGGCCACGTCCGGAGGGCTGACTTTGGGTTTGCCGTTGACAAGACTCTCGCCTACGGCTACATCCGGGACCCCAGCGGCCAGTCGGTGAGTCCGCCCCACCCCCCACCCTGGCTCCGCCCAGGGAAGCTCGGCTCCCCGTCAGGCTCCCTGTCAGCGCCCCAGTGCCGCCTGTACCCCTGCGCCACGCTGGACCTGGGCGACCGGGCGCGGCGAGGTCGCGGTTGATGGGGCCGCGTCTCTGGCGGGGTCAGTGGCTAGTTCTGTATTTTCTCTCTGAAAAAATCCGACTTTGGGAGCTCCAGGCTTCTCTTGGTCAGAAAGAGGCTCTGGGCCAGGGCTAACGCCCTCTGCTCCTGGAGCCAGAGACCCAAACCTCGAGGCTGGGGTGGGCGCCAGGGAGAGCAGAGGCCTGGACCTCATCCTCCCAAGAGCGCATTCCTCTCCTCTCTTTCCTCGTCCCACATGTGCCTGCACACGCATGTACGCACACGTGTACTCGCGTACGGACACATGCAGCCATAGACACGTTTTGCCACGTGACCATTTGTAAACCCCAGTGACCCGCACTGAGCCCGGCTCCTCCCTGCACATCGGCAGGGGGAGCAGAGGCAGAGAAAGGGCCCATTGAGGGCCTGCAGGGGTCAGAGCCCGGGGGGGGGCTCGAAGCACTTGCCAGACTGGCTGGCTGGTCACGAGGGTGTCAGTGGCATGGGCTGGACGCCGTGACGCGAGCGAGTAGGGGGAGGAGCTCACTGCCATAGCACCTTTGTGGCTGGGCCTGCTTGCCTTGCTCCCTGGAGTTCTGCACCAGCCCTGTGGCAGCTGGGAAACTGAGGCGCTGAAAGGCTCTGGCCGTGGGGGCTGAGATGCTCACCCAGCCGGGGCTGAGCTTTCCAGCCTCAGCCTTAGACACTCGGAGGACCCCAGGCTGCAGCTCCCCCCATGTGCGGCCAGCAGAGGCCCCAGAGGGAGATCCACTTGGAAGAATGAGCAAGGAGGAGGCGGGTGTGAGTCAGACCAGCCCAGGCAGGGGTGCCAGGGACGTGCCGGGCCTGGCATGCAGGCCTGGGCAGGGGGCTCCCACCCTGGGCCTCTGGGGGTCCTGGGACCCGGGCTGCCTGTCCTGCATTGCTAGGAGAGAAGAGATCTCTAGGAGCAGAGCCCACGGTGCCTTGCCCACAGCTGGCCCTGGGTGCGGCCCCTGTACTGAGAGGGCAGGATCCCCATGCGAAGCCAGCGTGCCCAGGGTCTAGGCACACGGTCCTTTTCCTGTTCCCCGGTTTCGCAGGGATCCACACTTTCTGCAGCTGGAGGTGTCCCCACGGGCTGCCAGCCCGCGGCTCTGCTGGGACCCCAGGCGGTCAAGTCCAATCAGGGCTCCTACGGGCTCAGGGCGGTTGTTGGGTTCAGAGGAGGGCCCGTGGCGCAGAGATGGGTTGGCCCAGAGGGAACAGGTGAGGCCGAGCCCGCCCTCCGGGAAGCAGGTAGATAGGAGCCCAGCACCCGCCAGGTAACGGGTGACCCACACCCCCTCGTGTTCTGCAACAGGTCTCTCTGGACTTTGTGAAGAGTGGTGACTATGCTCTGGAGCGGATGGGGGTGGCCTACCCTGCCCGGGCTCACCTGAAGTCTCCCTTCGACCCTGACAACAAGAGGGTGAAGGGAATCTACTGACCCCCCCCCCCCCCGCGGGGCGGAGCCTCGGGGCATCAGGAGGCTGAGACCTGCTCCGTCCCTCGCTGACCCTCCCCACGGGGCCTGCCGCCCTGGCCCAGGACTGGACCCGGCCAGAGAGGAGTCCTCCCCGCCCTCCTAGTGCAGAGCTGCTCGCCCCCCAAACAGATACCACCCGAGCGGACAGGAGACCCAGAGGGCCTGTCCTATGGTCACTGACCAGAGGCTGGCCTCTAGTCCACCCCTACCCCCCAAAACAAAGCTGCAAGGTCTTGGGCTCAGGGAGCGTGCCATGTGACCCTCTAGAAGCTTCCGAGAAGGTGCGTAGTTAACCCCTAGTAAGCCCAGTATAGAAGCAGGGAAGCAAAGGGATCTGCCCGGTATCCCAGGCCTGCCTGACGAGCAGACTGTCCAGAGCAGAGCACCACTGGAGAGTTTCCAGGGGCATCTGGAATTAGGGACAGAGTGAGGATTGTTTAGTACTGTCTGCCTCGGGCGCAGTTTAAAGGCAGAGAACAGGGGTGCCAGCTTGGCTGGGTCCCTGCGGCCAGGCCGTTGGGCAGGATGGTCCGTTCCCCAGAGGCTGGCAGAGGCGGGGATCCAGGAAGCCAGTTCTTCCTGCCTTGACCTGTTTCTCACACGGGAAAGCGTTCTGAGCACCACCAGCTGGTGAAATAGGTGAGCAGAAGCAGGGCGTGGGAGGGGTGGGTCTCACATCGGTGCCCTCCCTTGCCCATGCAGAAGCCCCACCTCCTGCCTCAGTTTCCCCAAGAGCACGTTGTTCGCTAGGTCCGTGAAGGAGTGGCGTGTTGCCGGGTGAGAACCCGACAGACCCCTCCTGCCTTGTGGCCTCTGTCCTTGCTTTGTGACTGGGACGTGGCTCCCGCCTCCCCGCTCTCTCCACTTGTGGCCCCGGGGAAGGGCTTCGCACAGGGTCTTTAAAGGGGTGACTCCCCCGCACCCCTTCTCTGGGCCTTCAGAGCTCTCTAACATCTGCCTGTGTGACCCTCTTCCCCCCTTCCTGGCCAGGATAAGCGTGTGTCCCGCCCCGTGCCCCCGTCCCCGGTCCTTCCCCCGTCACCTCTCCGGCTCACCCCAGCAGGATCTCGGAGCCCACCGGGCAGCCCAGGGGCAGCCCATGCGGCCTTGCCCGGCATGCCTGACTCTCTGGGGAGCAGAAGGTGGCGGGTGTGGGGGGGACAAGGAGGACAGGGTCCCCTCAGACGCTCGCAGGAAGCCACATGGTCACTGGGGCAGGGGGCAGTCCCTGGCGAGCCCTGGCTGCTTTCAGATGCTCACATGGTACACAGCCCCACCGTGGACCGCGCTGGAACAGGTCAGACTAATAAAGTCGAAGTCGTGGGAAGATGTTTGGGTTTCACATGGCCTTTGGAAAGCTCTTCGGCCCCCTCGCCAGACCACAGGCTGCGGAGCTTGGGCCTCCAGGGCTTTGCGCGCCTCCGGCAGAGGAGATCCGGAGACCTGTAGCCTCCCGGCTCACACGCAGGCCTGGCTCCCGCGTGAGAGAGTCTGGGGGAAGCCCAGTGGACCCCGAGGGGCCAGAAGTGGAGAGGAGGGGAGACGGCTTCCCAGAAGGCCTGGCCTGCTTCCCCAGGCTCCGCGGTTTGGCCCCAGAGCCCTGGATTGGGCCGGGATACGTGTTCCCCCCACAGCCCGTCCTGGGTAGGGGGAGGCTAAGTGTGAGGGGCGGGGGGCGATCCAGGTTCCCATCTGACCGCTCCCTCAGGGGCTGAGCTCAGAGACAGGAGCTTTGACTCGAGCCCTCGCTGTTGGTACGTTTGCTTCTCTGCCGCGGGGAAATAACCCGGCCCCTCCGGGGAGGGCATCGGGTCACCACGTGGGAGAGGCCAGGGAGCCACCTCCCAGGCTCTCCTGCCAGCCGCAGGAAGGTCCAGGCAGGGCCACAGCCCCGGGCGTGCAGCCTCGGTGGCTTAGGGCAGGGTGCGTGCGTTCCCACGCCAGTGTCCCCGGACCAGTCCTCTCTCACCCCTGGTCTAGACACCTGTTGCCCTGTTTTTGAAGGTTTTACTGGATGACACCATGGCCCTCACGGTGGCTGAGCACCGCCTTTCAGGAACTCTGGGCTGAGCTTGGCTGGGAGTCGAGAGGAGAGGGGCCCTCAGACTCAACCTGTGTGCTGGCCCCAACCGTCCCTGGAGCTCAGGGGGCCCCGGGGCGGGGGGCGCAGTGCCCCCCCGGGAGGGCAGGTGGGGAGGCCCCCTGCTTATGTGCCGGTCTTGCTGGGCTGCCGGAGACGGCTCGGGTCCGCAGTGGCTCGTGCATCAGGCGGCTGGCCCGCCACCTCTGGTCTTCCAGGGGTGAGTGGGGAGGAGCCCAGCTGGCAGGGAGGAGGTGCCCGCCTCCCCAGGGGGGACCAACGGCCCTGGCAGTAGAATGCCCGGGTGACTCCCAGCTCACTCCATTCCCAGGTGCCTCACATGCCCAGAACTGGCACGCACCCTCCTCCCTCCAGCACGGCAGATAGAAGGGACAACGGAAGTGCTGGGGAAAGAGAGGCGCTAGAATCATACCCCGAGTGACTGTGGACAAGCAGCCCATCGTGTGCTAAGGTCCTGGGGTGGGTCTGACCTGCCGTATGACCAGGGCCAGGATCATGCCTCATCTGGGCCTCAGCCAGGCCATTTGCAAATGGGAGGTGGGGGGGGGGGGGCAAGGTCCTTATGTTCCCCACCCTGCCCCAGCTTGGGGACACCCCCGGTGGGGCTCCTGCCTGCCGAGGACCCTCCCTGCTCCGGTGGGAGCACCGTCTAGTCCGGATGGGGCCTGAGTGCTCATCTCTTCCCCACACCCACCATGAGAGGATGCGCAAGAGGCCAGGGGCACCTGGGCACAGGACGAGGGGTGGGAAGACAGTGTGTGCCACAGCATCAGGCCTCCGGGCTGCCGGCCTGGTTCTTCTGAACGAGTCCTGGTGTCCCTCACCGTCTCACTCAGTTTCTAGCATTTGCCGGTGAATCTCCTCGGCTCTCCCCTCTGGGCACATCTGGAGCCTGACCCCCTCTCCCGCCCCCACGGCTACCACCTGGCTCCTGGTTACTGCACCGGCCTCCACCGGCCACTGCCTCCCCCCCTGCAGCCTCTCTGGCCTCTCAACTTCCCACGGCCCCCCCCCACCCCCGCTCAGCCTTGCCCGCCTCCCCCCTGTTCCCCACCGCACTGCACCTCGCGGCCTTTGCTCTCTCGGACTCCCCTCCTCACCTCCTTCAGGACTTTAGCATCACTTTCTCCTTTCCCAACAAGCCTGTCCCCAATGGCCACCCACATGTCCCGCTCTACTCGATGCTCACTGCTATCTGCATATTGTTCGCTTCCTTATTGTCTGTTGACCATCTGTACCCTCGCCCCCACCCATGAAAGCCGGGAGGGCCCCACGTTCTGTTCAGGATCCAGCCCCAGAGCCTCCCCCAGGGCCTGCCCCACAGCTGGGACTGGATGAGTAGCTCAGACCAGAGGCAGGAGAGTGGAGGGTGGGGGGCTGGCGAGACCCAGGACCACGGGGACTGGGGGACAGTGGGGCCACCTCGGGGGCAACTGTGATGCTCCTGAGTCCGTTCTGGGTCCAGACCTCCTCTGTTTATGAGCAAATGTGCTGAGGGCGGCTTCCTCACCCCATTCAAGTCAGGTTTTCAAGGGGGCCACCACCACCCCCCCCCAAAGTTCCGAATCTCAGAGGGAGAGCTTCCTGGATTCTAGTCTAGAATCTTCCCTTGAAAGCTCCCCGAGTCCCTGTTAGGAATCTTCCACAAAAACAGAAGTTTCTGGCCTGGGACTCCCGGGACACAACGGGCTGCCTTCCATCCCAGAACCTCCCCAAAAATCAGGGAAACGTGGAGTGTGTGCGTGAGGCTGGTGGGTGTGTGTGGAGAAAATAGAACGGTGCGTGTCCCAGGGAGACTGTTGGTGGTTTTCAGTGCATGTCACAAGGGCTAGAGGGGGACTAAACGGGGGTGCTTTGTAATCAGAAGCTTTGTCTTTCGCTGCAGCGGAGCGGAGAGAAGGTGGGGGCACCAGGGATCCTTGGGACTCAGTTTCTCCGTCCGCACGACAGGATGGGTGGGCGGGGGGGGGGCGGGGGCCGGGGACCAGGAGAGCCATTGGCAGCTGGGGGAGCCTGTCCCTGCGGGGCATTTGGGGACCTGTGGGAGCATTCTGCTGGCCACGATGGGGGGCGCTGCTGAGGCTTTGCACGGGGTGGGGTGGGGGCCCAGGAGGCCAATCCTTCTGCAGCATGAAGGACCATCCGGCTGCTCTTTGCAGAGCCCGCCGGGGCCGGGCCCGCTGCGGCCCATCGGGCATGTGTCCCCCCCCTCCCCACCGCTCAGTGAGGCTGGTGCTGTCTGGGACCGCAGCCCCGGGGGACAGCGCAGCCCAGGGGAACCTGCTGCGACGAGCCAGTGCACTCTATCCGTGCAGTATCGCAGCCACGGCCACATGTAGCTGAAATGTGGCAGGTGTGACCGAGAACCCAAATGTTCCCTTGTATATCATTTTGATTCATTGAAAATTATGCTTGAATAGCCACATGAGGCCCCTGGCCACCGGGCAGCACAGCCCTGGAGCGTCCTGGGGCCAGCTCAGGCAGATACACCTGCTCTGGCTGGAGCGTACAGACTGAGAACGCCCGCCCCCCACGCCGCCCCCCTCCGGACCCTCTCAGCATCAATCCTGCATGAGCACACCTCGGCCTGGGACTCAGGTCACTTCACAGCTGCCCGGTCATGCCACCCTCGCAGCCCCTGCCCCTCAATGGGCAGCAAGGGAGACGGGCCCAGAGAAGGAAAGCGGCTGGCCCAGGGCCACACAGCAGAGAGAGGAATGGGAACCCAGGCTGCTAGACCCTCACTCTTCCTCCACTGGACTGCTCAGAAGAGCCCCGAGGGTCATTCGAGGGACTTGGACCAAAGTAGTACCCTCGCCCTGACGGGCTGCTTTTAGGTAATAAACCATTTCTCCCAGATGCCCTTGCCAAGTCCTTGCGGGGCACAGGGATGGTGCCTGTTGCCCAAGGAAATGGAGGTGGAGAGGCCAGACTCTCCAGTTGACGCATCCGGGCTGGCTGCTGGGCGGCACGGCTCCCGCTGGGTGACCACAGCACCAAAGTGTCGGGCTCTATGCCTCAGTTTCCCTTCCTGCCCACGGGAGCAGAAACAGCTATGCCGTGGGGTTGCCGGGCGGGCTGGCACAGAGCCAGTGTGCACACGGTGGCGGCTCTTAGCAAGAACGGGGGTGCAACAATCCAGGCGGGGCTGGATGGAGGGGCAGGGGCGGGGCAGGATGCACACAGGGGTCCCTGCGGGAAGCGCACAACAGGCTGTCCTGGGGACACGAGGCAGACGAGCCTGAGAGGGTGAAAGTGAGTGACGTGGTGGGGGGAGGGGCTGGCATCTGGGTGGCAGAAGGTTCTGGACGGGTGCGATTTCCCTATGGCCACTAATCCGCTGGGGACCCTGGGTGAAGCGTTTCTCCTCTGGGGAGATTGGGAGGCTCAAGTGCTGTGTTGGGGCTGGGGGCTCAGGAAGAAAGTGATGGTGGCCAGGAAGGGCCCAGTGGGTGTGAGGCTGGCTCGCCGTGGTCTGTGGGGCCCCCTGGCACCCTCTCCCACAGCCCCGGGCTGGCCAGGACCCTTGTCCCCGCTGGCAGTCATCGTGCTCAGAGGGAAGGGGTCTTCCTGGGCCTGGGTGTGCTCCAGGCCACCTTCCCGAGGCCCGCCTTTGCAGGGAGGGGCCTCCCCTCCACCTGTCATCCCAGACTGTAAAGGTGACAGAGGGCCGGCCGGCCCTCCAGCCTCCGTCGGGAGATCGTGCCCTGTGACTTACGGCGCGGGGAGCCATGATTTATACGACGCACTGCAGTGTCTGGGCCCGTTTGTTCGCGCCTATAATGAAATGGCTCTCAGAAGGAGAGGCCGACGGGTTCTGAGCGGGGAGGCCCGGGAGGCCCATCCATCACCCTCTTGCTCCCCTAGAGGCCGTGCAGCGTTTTTGCTGAACTGGCTGAACAGAGCCAAATCCGTTAGTCCCTGCAGAAACCATCAGGGAGCCAAACGCGGCCTCAAATGGGAGGCAGCGCAGAGGGGACGAAGGTGGAGACTGGCCCAGGACGCGTGGGGCGCGTACCGGCTCCTCCAGGGGCGGAGCGCCCGCCGTGGAAAGGAGGCTCAGACGAGGCCTCCTCCCGTGGGGGCGGTGCCCCTAGGCGCCGGCCCGCGTGTGAGTTTCATGGTCTCGTTCACCCAACGGCATGGGCCCCGTTTGCTAGATGAGGAGACTGAGGATCAGGGAGGTGGAGTGACCCACCCCAGTCCCACCTCCACCGCAGGCCGCCGAGG